TGTTCCGCTTCAAATGAGAAGGATACATTTGCTGGAGCAAGGACACGATCTGGGTTCTGCTATATTTCATCTGAGAGCTCAAACTCACCAAGCTGGTCGTTAAATTAAGCATTTCCCTCTTGCTCCATTAACCAGAAATTCCCCTTTTAGAAGCAGAAAGACTTTTCTGGCTAAATCTTTGTTTGAATTAGCACATTCCTACAAAAATATTTCAGTTTCAGCAAATGAGCATTTTGTGACCAAGGAATCCACAAAGAGGCAGTTGAACACTTTCTGACCAGTTCTGGCTGTTTGATACCAAGCTTGATAGAAATCTTTCTCTCTGCTGTGTTGGTGAAGAGATCTCCAGCTCCTGCAGCTGGAGATCCCCCTTGAGAAGACAACAAGTTCCAGCTTTCCAAAGGCTACCAAAATGTCTTCCTCTGATAAGCTTTCTGTCCTGGGCTGATCACTTCAGAATACACTACTGGCGCAACAGCACCACGTCCTAGCACCCACAGCAAACATGAAAGCAATGGCTTTAAATTCAGTTGGAAGGATTCCTTCACTGAGTCTCTTTCTTGGGGGTGCCAGCTCAGTCAACCCTTGCTCTCGAGAACTGGGAAAATGTGGCAAAAAGGGTGGGAAGATGTTTCCTGGTTGTGATCAGGAATGCACCCTGACAGGCCATGTCAGAAGGTACCGAGCCATAGTGCTGCCTTTTCTTAAAGTTCTCCTTTTCCAAGTAAGGCACTCCTAAGAGGAGAAGATCACTCACTTCACTCCCTGAGCTGGGCTCACAAGCTCTGTTTTCAGCAAGCACTAGAGGTCTTTTCCTGGGTTATTTCATGAAGTGTCCAGAAACTTTGAGTTTGTTTCCTATTTTAATCTGAGGTGCTGATTTTGCTCTCTTGTGTCTTGGGCTTGAAAGTAAGCCTTAACCATTGGGGATGGACAGGTCCAAGATATCCACCCGACATGGACTTGAGATGAGGGCAAGGCAGATCTGGGGACTAAGACTGTAGGGTGAAACAAGGACCACTCTTGTCTAGAAGCAGAGGCTCAGCCAAAGGGGCCATCTTCTTCCCTGAACTCTGATCACCTGAGTCTAACATCCAGCTTCAGATCCATCTTCCCGAGATTCCTCCTGCCACCTCCAAGCCTGGTTTCACAGGCTACCACAGGACATATCTCTGTTCACATCAGCTTTTCCAACTGTGTGGAAAAATGTCAGAAACACTACTCAGTCTCTCATCCCCATTTTGGGGGAGAAAACAGGTATTCTGACGTCTCCACATAGAGACTGTCAGGGACAGAAGACCAAGTGGGGAAGCTTGTTAAGTACCTTGGGATTTATTATAGTGTACATGGTATTTTGGCAAATTCTTCCACATAAACTTGGCAAAAAGGCTCATTAAAAGACGTCTAAGCATTTTGATAAAATAAATATTCATTGCTTGCTGTGACTTGTTATAGCCAATGATTCTTGGACAGGGCTGCCTTCTTTCAAATCTCTCATCTCTTCCATAGCATGTACAAAACAAGTTTCAGGAAAACAGGCAGTTCGTTGAGTTTTTAATTCCTCCTTTGAGCTACTGATAGCTTGGAGAGCTTCCAGAGGCCACTGAGTCACAGCCTTCCAGTACTGAAATATGCAGCCTGCAAGGATCAAGTTTAGCCTCAAGCTCTTTTCTTTCTTCTGCGAAAATATTGGCTAAGAGAGGCGTTTAAAATAGATTTTTCCCTGAAAGCAATGAGGGTATCTCAGCCTTGATGCACTGGGTATGAACGACTTGTTCAGCTGTCGCAGGAGTAAAACCGTCATTTTCCTCCCAATGTGTTTAGATCAGGCTGCAACAGCTAGCTTAAAAACAAGGGCTTCTGGCAGGGCTTCACATGAGATTTTAATTTTCTTTATTTGTGGCAAGGATGCAAGCTGTCCACGGCCATGCTAGCAGATGACGAAGTAGCATGGGAGATGTGGCAAGCCCGGGAACGCTCGGCAATGCAAGGGGTAATGATCTGAGGGTGAATGGAAGCAGCATAAAAGCTTTCATCTGCTCCCAGTTCTTCCCCCTCTCATCCCAGCTGCATGGCAATTAATCCGATCAGTTGATGCAGTGGAAGGCATAAGACGCTGGGTAGATCAGAGCTAGAATGAGACAGCAGAGCTGGCTGTAACTTATACCTACTTAATGAGCAAGGAGCCGCTCTGCCAGTGTTGGCAGTGTCCTCGGCATCCACAGTTGCTGAGGGACCCCACTGAAAACCTACGAGCAGCGAGCTTGCGCCTGGCTCTCCTTCCTCCGTCCAACCCGTGCTGCACCGCCGCAGTGGTGACGTTGGCTGCCGGGGCTGGGTGCCTGCCCCTATCCCCTCTGGTCTGCCTCCATTTACTCGCACCAGGAGGAAAGCAGCTTTTTGTGCAGAGACCCTGTCGAGGCTGCGGACAGGGAGCACTAGCATCGTCTCGTGCAGCAATGGCAGTTTGGTGGACACGGTTTGTGCCCAAGGTTCAGACTCTCCTCTTCCCCATGGCATAGGAAAGATGCAATACTGTAACTACAGGTTTCCTTTGCTTCTGTGTTAAGTTTTCCTCTTTCTACTGTGAATTTCTTTTGCTCTGCTGCATTGCACAGGATGGGCACAGGCAGATAGTAGATGCAAAGTGACAAATGTGAGGATAAACACATTCCTTTCAAGACTCACTTTGCTTCCATGTAAACAGAGAAGAACTGCAAGATCTTTGGCATCGCCTCATCCAGCCCAGCATCCCATCCCTGACAGAGAAGGTGTCGCAGAAGCCACTACATCGCTGCTTGGCCCGGCAGCAGCGGCTGGGGCTGCATGGACCCTGCAGACTGTGGAGCTCGTGGGGATGGGAAGAGGGGCAGAGCCAGGCTCTGATGTGGGTCTCAGATTTAACACGGCCACCCTCCTTGGGATGTCTTGGCCACCACCACTATCTACAATACAGTCATTCTGAGCAGCCTGCAAGGCTGAGCAGAGTAGCAGGGATGAACAAATCCACTTTTTGTCTCAAAGTCAGAGTATGAAGTTCCACCAGTTCCCCACAGTCTAGTCCACAAAGACCTCATGGGAGATGCTGAAACATTTCAGATCAAAGTCCGGCTGCACTGTCAGTCTGATCAGCAGTGTCTTCCGCTCTTAGGGAGTCTGAAACCACATACATAGAAAAGGAAAATG